ACACACACACACACACACACACACACACACACACACACACACACACAAGCATAGCCCCATTTTTCAGCAAAGATTTAACAGCAGAAACTGGTTGGGTTTCATGTTACAAGGCATAGTTACTTTTACAAAATACCATGTACAATGCAGAATATTTGTTAGAGCACTATGAAGTGCTTCAAGTAAACCTAAATGCTTACTCATATGAACAAAGTACATAATTTAATTTATTTGGCTGTGTTTGTTTATTTGTGAATTTGCAGAATTCAGGAATCAAAAATGGGCTTCCAATTATTAGTGCCAATCAGCAAGGCTCTGCTGTAGTTCTATGGTTTCATGAGTTCAGCTGGCATAATGAGAATTATTACCCAGTAAGGTGTATGAGAGGAATATGTTTAATTGGCTTTACTATGAAAGTTCAGTAAGGTTACCAAACCAACAGCCTGTTTATTTCCCCTCCCTGCTTTTTAAGCAGTCTTGTAAAGTCCTGATTTTTGGTTTACAAAATTATTCTGCTTATAACACTGATAGAGAGATATGCACAGTTGTTTGCTCCCTCAGGTATTAATACATTAATTACTAAATACTAAATAAATTACTAAATAAAAATTCAGAGGACTGGTGGAGAACAGGGAAGGACAAAAACAAGAACTCAGCAGTGTGTTGTAAAGGGTTACTCAAAGGCACGTTCTTCTGAATAATGATGAATTGCTTCCTGATTTGTGGTCAGTGACTTTTTTAGTATAATTACTGTCAAGGAGGAAGCTGAACAGCTAGTATATGTATCTTAAACTTGGTACAGCAGAGCATTTTCACCAAAAACCTACACTTCCTTGACCAGACCCACGTAACACATATTACAGGAACCTCTGTCTCTTTTAAAGACAGTAATCTGTGAGTACACTTTCCCAAAGTCAGTTCATATTGATTGTTGATTTTCATTGTATGGTAACGGAAGAGTTGTAGGTTTTGGATGGTTTTTTTTTTTTTTTTTTTTTCTTCAGCCATTCAGCAAGGTACCAGAGCAATAAAAGGGGTTCATTTTTATCTAGAACTAGAGACTGCACTGAACCTACTTTATTAGAAAACTACACGAGAGAGGTGGCTTCAGCACATTGAAGTGCTTACTATTGAATATTATTGGTTTCTGAGACTAGAATTTTGACATTCACCTTTGATAAGAAAAGCTACTCTGTAAGTGGTTGGAAGTGTCAGTAGGTTAGAATTCTTTAACTTGCTGATTTTTCTTAACTCTGAAACACCTGACCTCTTGTTTTAAGAGAAGAAATTGCTTTCAGTGATTCTTTTCTGTTTCTGCTTACAAATACAAACAAATTTCCATAAGGCAGTTTTTCATTATTTATACAGCTGAAGCTCTATTCACCACTGGCCTCCATATTTTTCAGCAAGAAACTGTAAGTTGACAGGGTTTTTCATATCAGATGTCAATGTAGCTGTTAGTTTATTTCTGCTTTGCTGACCTCGCATCAAAAATATATTGGGCTTGGGGTTTTTAGTAAGAACAGGAGTGACTTTTGTTTTCTATTGAAGATGGGCTAATTATTTGCTCTTCTGCTTGCAGGTTACTGGAGTTGTAAGTAAAGAGTACATCCCGAAAGGAACACGTTTTGGACCCCTGGTAGGAGAGATCTATACCAACGATACAGTTCCCAAGAATGCAAACAGAAAATATTTTTGGCGGGTAAGCAGGAAAAAAACAGCTCCATGTTGATGCAGTAATCAGATCACTAAATGAGTACAGCTGAAAAGCTGGGTCACTTCCTGTTTCAGACCTGTGTGAGTGCAGGGGGCAACTTCTTTACTCTGCCATATATGAACAGAATTCTGAGTGAACAGTGGTGAACTAAGCTGAGTAAACCTCTGGCCCTCTTGGAAACGGGGACAGTGTGGGTGGAGAGTGAGGGAAATGCACGACAGCTCTTGGCTTTGTCTTCTGCAACACATCAGTGCTTGATCATATAAAGAAATAGCTCTGCAGCTTGCTGCCGGGGTAGGTTGATTTGCATTTCTACACAAGGAAATAGTAATGTCATTCGTTAAGACGAAGAATGTCATGTATTCTTGATTTCTAGCTAATACATACTTGAGAGTGAGTGGGACGTATTATATATTCTTTTATGCTGGAATTATTAAAATCTGAATAACTTTTTAAGCATGTTTCAAATTCAACTATTGTAAAACAGTGTTTATCTCTTCAATATGTGTATTTTAAATTAACAGACATTTCTAGGGCCAGTTGAGAAAATGTTTGCAAACTGGCTGCCTCATCATGTCCATGTACCCCACTAATGGCAGGCAGAAACGTTAATGTGATGTTTACTGCTCATAAGGTAGTGCAGCTTGGTATGGAGTAGGAGTCTGTGTGTGCTAACTGAGCACTCTGTGTTGATAACTTAGGCACCCTGGGGGAGTAAGGATAGTCTCCTTCCCTTCCCCCCTCCATTTATCTCCCACCATCCCTTTCATTCATCCCTTCCTTCCTTCTCCTGTTAATTGGGAAACCTCAGTGAACTAATCCCCACAACTTCCTCCACAAACACATTACCAATTGTGTATACATCATCCTTTCTGCTCCATCCCCTTCCATGGAACTGAACTTGTTGCTCCTAAGATCACTAAGCCAGTCTGTCACAGGTTTTGATGCAAATGTGGGTGAGTGGGAAGAGTTTTTGTACTCTGTATCTGAGCCTTGCCACTGGGAGTTTAATCAAATGGCTTCATAGTAGGCCCCAGGTTTGCTCTAATTGTCCTGGCACTTGCATGCATTCTTTATATAGAAAGACTACTGCTACACTATATGTGCATAAATGCATAACTTTACTTTTAGGCCTTGTCTACTGGCAGTGGTGTATATGGTATGTGTAGCTACACACTTCAGTAGAAAGTGGGCTACTTCCACACTGTGGTGTTGTAGCTACATGCGACAGTGTACAACTCTAGCTGGGAGAAGGCAGTGTAGACATGGGAGGCACGACTTGGGCACGTAGGGAGCCGTGTACGGTACATACCCTAATGTTCTGGTATGTCTTTACTCGCCTAAGCAGAGCCTTGTCAACTACATTGCTGTTTATACCTGTACTGGGGGGCATGCATGGTACATACTCCACATGCTGCTGTAAGTGTAGACATAGCCTTAGTGATCTTTTCTATAGCTCTTTTTGAGGCCTCTTAGGAAAAATTAAGTTAAGTAATTACCCTATTTGGGTTTTCTTATGCTTTCTCCCACAGAATTTTACTCATTGGCACATGGATAATAATTAACATGAACGTTCACACAAGGTGCAGGAGTGTTTTTACAATTGTGAGACCAAGATCTTGTAATTAATTTCCAGAGTCTAGGTCCCGGAAGGGACTTAGGTGTGGCAACGCTAAGTGTTGCAACAGCTAACTTTTAGATGCCCTGCTGCCCAGTGGAATCCTCTCAACCCTGAATTAGGTGGCCAGGCTCCTTGTGCAATCCATGGGAAGAGTTAGGTGCTAAAACAATGGTTTCACAGGGTGACGGGTTGAATCACAGAAACCCCCTTGGGAGCTGCCACCCGATGTGCAAAGACTACCCCTGCTTCTGTTTTCCCTGCCAGCTCAGGACTCCAGCATCCCGTCTTGCTGAGCGAGACACTCCAGTCTGGCTCCAACACAGACCCAGGGTCTGAATTACTTGTCCCAAAGTTGCAAGTTTACCTGAAAACAGCTCATAGAAGCGTGCTTGTCTTTAGCACTCAGATGCCCAACTCCCAATGGGGTCTAAACCCAGATAAATCTGTTTTACCCTGCATAAAGCTTATGCAGGGCAAACTCATAAATTGTTCGCCCTCTATAACACTGATAGAGAGATATGCACAGTTGTTTGCTCCCTCAGGTATTAATACATTAATTACTAAATACTAAATAAATTACTAAATAAAAAGTGATTTTATTAAATACAGACAGTAGGATTTAAGTGGTTCAAAGTAGTAACAGACAGAACAAAGTAAGTCACAAGCAAAATAAAATAAAAAGCGCAAATCTATACCTAATCAAACTGAATACAGATAATCTCACCCTCAGAGGTGCTTCAGTAAGCTTTTTCTCAGACTGGACACCTTCCAGGCCTGGGCACAATTCTTTCCCCTGGTACAGCTCTTGTTCCAGCTCAGGTGGTAGCTAGGGGATTCTTCATGATGGCTCCTCTCTCCCTCTGTGTTCTCTTCCACCCCTTTATATATCTTTTGCATAAGGCGGGAACCCTTTGTCCCTCTGGGTTTCCAACCCCCCTCACTGGAAAAGCACCAGGTTAAAGATGGATTCCAGTTCAGGTGACATGATCACATGTCACTGCAAGACTTCATTACTTACTTGCCAGCACACACATATACAGGAAGACTCACAGGTAAACACAGTCATCTGCAGACAATGGTCCTTGTTAATGGGAGTCATCAAGATTCCAAACCATCATTAATGGCCCACACTTTACATAATTACAATAGGCCCTCAGAGTTATGTTTTATATTTCTAGTTTTAGATACGAGTGGTACATTTCTACAAATAGGATGATCACACTCAGTAGATTATGAGCTTTGTAATGATACCTTACAAGAGACCTTTTGCACAAAGCATACCCCAGTTGCATTATATTCACTTATTGTCCAATTTTTCTAAAACTATCCCAGTTACATTATATTGACTTATTATCAAGTTTTTATAAAACCATATAGACTGCACAACGTCACACACAGATACAAACAAGTTGAATGAGGAGTTGCCTAAACTCGCCCATAGGAAATGCTGAGGAGAGGGAAGAAGGTATTTTAGGTGTCTATCTCCACTCAGGCTTCTTCTGGAGTTGGGCACCTAAGCCAGGTAAGACCTTTCTCACGAAAAAAACAGAGATAGAGACAGTAACCCACCCTATCCCATTATAGCCAATAGTCCAGTGGTTAGAGCACTCACCTGGGCCATGGGAGACCTGTCTGCAGATACCTGCTGTGCCTGGTTTGGAGCAGGGACTTGAACTTGAACACCGGCCTATGGACTAAATTTGCTCTCTTTCTGAACTGAATATTTAATTTATTTTATACCAAGTGGAACAGCTCCAAGAGGAGAGAGATTGAGCACCCCTTACTCCAGAAGAGCCAACAGTCTGGTGGTCAGGGTACACACCTGGAATATGGGAGACCTGGAGTCAAGTCTCTGCTCAAATTGAGCAGCATGAGAATTTGAAAACAGGTCTCCAACATCCTGGGTAAGTACTCTAGCCACCAAACTATTGGGCATTCTAGGACACCCGCACTCCAGCCAGCCACAAAAATTCCCCATCTGGTCACTGCTGACTGTCTTTAGTGCAAGGCCCTGTCCAGTAGGCCTGGTCTGAAAATGCCTATCTGGCCCCACAGATGGGGAAGTGCCTGGTTTTTGACTTAGGCATGAGGTAGGGTGCCAAGCAGCTCAGCAGTATCAGGCTTCAAGCAATTTTACACATGCCCAGCAGCAGGAACTTAGGTGCCATGAGACATTGCCAGCAGAAAGTCAAGCACATGAGGAATTTGGGTGCCTATAGGTTTACGTGGTAGCTGACTGGGTGATTTGAGGATCTAAGTGTTGAACTTAGCCCCACAAAGGCATCTAAGTCCAACACCAGGAGAAAGGAATAATAACTTGTGTAACATTACCCGTGGGGAATAATTCAGCAAATATTCAGAAAGGTTTTTAACTATTTTCCAGGATTTTAGTCATATTGCTGTAAGAAAGATGACCTCATTTTTGTGATGTTACTTTGCTTTAATGTAAAGCTTCTTGGAAATAATATAGGAGTCTTCTAAGGGTCATTACACTTACCATTATAATCTCTTGATTCAGTACAGACACACTGCCGTAACTCAAATGAATTCCTTCCTCAGGGACTGAAACAGTCTTGCACATGCAAAGGAAGCTGTGGGAGATAACTTCCCACATGCTATAAAAGGCATCCTGATTTTGCTGGCAGGAACAGGAACATCTGCTCTGTGTGAACATAAATGTTCCATGCAAATTACACACACAGATAGGAGAAGGGGGACGTGAGGGCTGTGCAAACCTCAGAGTGACATCATTTCTTGTAACTGTACTATGAGTCAGCACATTTTTAATCTTCTTGATAATATATGGAAATCTGGTGAGATGGCAGAATAAGGTTTTGTGGGGGTGTGTATGTGACCTCACGATACTGATATTTCTTTTTTTAAAAGAAGTACAGTAAATTGTACTATCTATGGACGGGTAACTGGAAGACCTTCAGTGTAGCTTTAGAAAGCAGCTTCCGTCTCTAGTAGAAGTGTACAGCAATGGAACCCCAAGTTCCTGGAAGTTTGCAAATCGGAGTAAACAAAGAAACTTGAAAACTCCTCTTGATAGCAGAATTCACCCGGCTCTGTTCCATTTTCTCATAACAAACACACCGCAAAATCTCTCACTAGCTTCTTTGATGAAGCCACATGTATTTCCCCCTTCTCATTTTACAGGAAGTTACTCTTAAAAGAAAGTGATTCTGGTGTTTACTGCCTGCATTAAAGGGCCAGCCTGTCTTTTTCCTTTTTTCTTCTCAGTTGACTCTTGCAGTTACTGTTCAAATGAAAAAGAAAGTAGTATGAGCATAGAGACAGAGAGATGTATTTCACTGATGAGATCAAATATATTAGGTCTGTTCTTTAGAAAGAGAGAGTTCCTGCCTCAAAGAGATTCCAATCTAAAATCCAAATGGCTCACAGTTTAAGACTAACTTTTACCCGATAACTTATTGTGAAACTCAGGCGTTCTTAAATGGCTTATTTCATCAAGTAGTGACTGAACTAATTATTTCCACAAATAAGCGATCTTAATTCTAAAGTACATATTTGTTGAGTTCATTAGATTTTCACTTAATTTTCATATTCTCATAACTTTGACAAATGACATTTTCACTCATTGAATTGGGTCTTTTTCTTGTGCATGTTGCCAAGCAGTTTTATGTGTAATTTTTTTTAAAAGTACATGTCTAAACATGTCTATTGAGAGGAAAAGTGACTTTCATAGACTGTCAAATGCTGGCCTCTTGCCCGGTCTTCAGTTATAGCAGGTGAAGTTCACCTTAGCCCCACCCAGCTTTTCCAGAAAAGGGCTACATTCCAAGTGTGAGCAAGTGTTACTTTAGGACTGTTGCGGGGGGGTGAGGGGGGAGGATGTTTGCATAGTTTAAACCTTCGGGCGGAGGTGGTAGGAAACTGCAAGTACAGAGGCCATAGAAAAAAACGGAGAAAGAGACTGTGTTTGACGTAGCCTAGCTAGTCAGTCTTATACACAGGTGACTCAAAGCATTAATGCAAGCACACAGTCAAACCTGAAGTCAACAGTATCACACACTTGTTGGATCATAGCAGCAGAAAAAGATCTCTAAGGTAGACTTACTTCAGACAACTCTTCATGTTCTGTGGCTTTCATGTGTGCACATTAATAGAGCAACACATTGACTAAACATAAATGGAAAAGGTAACTGGGAGAGTGTACCTAATCTAAAGTGAGATTTATTACTCTTAATGCCGAGAATGTCTTACTTGGAAAGGGAACACCCATTTCTCTCTTTATTTTGTTGTTTATTTGGTTGATCATGTGTTTTTTTTGTTTGTTTTTTTAAACCCTCTTATTTACCATATGTACTCTGTGTATGTGTATACACTATAGATATATATTCATAATATTCTCTCATCTAGATCTATTCCAGTGGTGAACTTCACCACTTCATTGACGGATTTAATGAGGACAAGAGCAATTGGATGCGCTATGTGAACCCAGCCCATTCTGTTCAGGAACAGAATTTGGCAGCTTGTCAGAATGGAATGAACATCTATTTCTACACTATCAAGCCCATCCCTGCCAACCAAGAACTACTTGTGTGGTATTGTCCGGACTTTGCAGAGAGACTGCACTATCCTTCCTCCAGAGAGCTGATGATGAATCTCAGTAAGTGGATTACAGTATAAACAAAGAATGCTAGTAATGTCTCTTCTGCCTATGTGATCTAATAATATGTTGTATAATTATATAGCTGAATCATCTGTTGTGTCACAGTAGGTGGTTTGGAGTAGACAGAAGGAATTTAAAAACAGAGTTTCTTGTGCTGTTTAAATACAAACAGATTATTAAAAATTTAAAGTTATTGGTTTATAATCTGAGAATTATCTGATGAAATCCTACATAGACAATTCCTCTCCCCCACCCCTCTCTTAAAAATAATTGACATTGCTACATGCTGAGACTTTAGAGATTCCAGGTTTCATGGGTCTATTTAAAAAAATTCTGCTGTGAAAATGTACACAAAGGGATGTATATTTGGGTTCCAAATGGACTGTCCTTACTGTGCAAGGAACTGGACCCAGGCCATGTGCATATCTTCCAAACTGTATGTTGAACTGATAGACATAAAGGTTAGAAAAAACTAACTTCATTTCTGATAACAACAAAACTCAATTCTGTCTCAAATCGGTTATAGTGTAGTTGCTTAACTTAATGCTAGAAAGATGTTGTTTTTTTTTTATTTCTTTCCTTGTGTGTCAAAATTGCTAATGGTGTGAAGATGCATTCCTTTTTTTTTTTTTTTTTCCCAAAGCTGTGTGTTCTGACCATCTCCAACTTTAGTCTTTTACCCCTAGATTTGATACACTACTAGGATCTCATCCAGAGTTAACTGAAAGCAGCAGAAAGATTCCAAATGGCTTTAATCAGACCCTTAGTAGATTTAATTTTCTGTTAACCTATATAATATGCCTATGTCTATGTAGGAGTTATAAAAATTAATGCATTATAATTTTTGTTTCTATGAAATGGGGTTCACTGCTATCTGGAGATGGAGAATGGGTTATAAAATGTCAGTATTAGTTTAGGAGTGGATCAAGATAAAAATGCAGTCCCCATCTTTGTATACAGCACAGACTGGTCAGAAATTGCCAATACACATTTCTCCTCCTTTGTACTTTCATTAGTTGCTTCCCAACCCCTTAGTGATTACAAAGCATGTTTACTCTTTTGAAACACTAGAAATGCTTATTTAGGTACTAAGGATCTGAAGTTCCTATGTTCCTTACTCAAACAACATTAATTTGCTCACTATAACCTTATCTCAAATGTAATTTCATTAGTTACCATGCAATTTGGTCTCCTGTTATGCTGAACTGTGCAGGCCTATCCATGTGACATGAGTGGGACATGTCAACAACATTAGAGATTCATTGGTTCACATGTACAAGTAGTTTGCAAACATATAATTATCACATTTCAAAATTTATCTCTGCATCCATTTTTTTCCATCTCTGCTGGCTTTTTATGTTACATGTACTCCCCACTGATACAGCAAGATATTTGTAAAGTGCTGACAGATACTCTGACTATTGACCAGATCACTGTGTGTGTCTGGAAGCATTCAGCATCTGTATCTTTATGAAACAATTCTGTAAAAGTAGGCTTCAGACCTGGATTGGAAGGCACTGGCTGTGTAAGGAAGTGTACTGTTTCCTAACAATTCTGTGTACTTGAAAATAGACTACAGAGAACAATCCTATATTGACATGTGGATGGACATAGAGACTTCTGATTTTTGACACTTATAAACTCTCTATCATTTTTATTAATTGTATTTAAATTAGAGATTTTCCTTGCCTTGCACATCCACAGTTTAGCAATACAGAGAACTGAGCATAAGTCCTTTAGTTTTTTTTAATTGGCTTCCTTCCACTGTTAGCATTGGCCCTCCCCTGTTAAATCAAATCTTGTCCACACTCTCCCCCATCCCTGTGACAAGTATGTTTGGGCATGGAGGCCTACAGTTAGGCAATAAAACCTTCACAATAGGTATAGCGCTGTCATTGGAAGCTTCAACAACTTTTCTCACAAACTCTTAGAAAAATTCCATTGGACCATAAGATGTTTGTGGTCTGTTCATTGAAGGTATAATGTTGAATTGTGAATGATACAGTGGTGCTGGAACTATTTTTGCAGTGGGGGTGCTGAAGGCAGAAACCATGTATTTGGGTTGTTATTACTACTTCAAACCAGAGGGTGTGGCAGCACCCCTAGTTCCAGCACTGATATTTCTCCAGTTTTAATATTAAAGATAGGTGAATTTCAAGATACTACTATGCCAGCACTAATTCTAACAGGTGCTTTAGCTTTCCTCTTCCCCTTCCTCAGCTGCCAGCTCTTGCAAGTTAAAATTAACAGAGACCCACCAATTTCTCCAGCCTTCCAGAGACACCTCAGTGGCAGTCTCCAAGCTAGAAAAAATCCAGAAGGACTTGTCCTGGACTGTTCAGACCCTGCACAAGCTGTAGATTTTAGACTTTCAGCATCTCCAGTGTTAAAATAATCAAAGAATTTCCTATAGCTTAACTGAAGCCCTTAATTGAAGGAAGTGATCAGAACCACCACATAGAACACACACATATAGACACACCCACTTGCCTCCATGAGGACATATATTTTTAACTTTAAATATAACCTCTCAAGTTAATTAATTTAGGCCCCAATTCAGGAAGGAGTATGTATTCAGGACAGCATTTAAGCACATGCTTAATTATGTGCTTTAGTGCTTTCCTGAATCAAGCCTTAGGCCCCCGTTCTGCAAACATTTATTCACAGTGGGACTACTCATTGTAGTAAAGTTGATCATATGCATAAGTGTTTGCAAGGAGATACAAGGTGTTTGTAGGATCAGGGCCCTGATTTGTCTTAGGGGGAGGAAGTATAATCTTACCATTTACATATTTCCATCTTCCTTTTTTCTTAATCTGTTGACATTGTTTTGAATCAAGATATGAGTAATAACAAAGAAAATCACCTTCAAATAGTGCCTTTATTAACCATTGTGCAATACATGTTTTAGGTGTGGTGACACATGATTTCTACATTCTGTGGACCAAGAAAATAATTTCCACTATTTCATCAAACCTACTGCACTTACTAAATAATGATTCCAAATGAATCCTGACAGTTACTAATAGTCTAAAGCCTATCATGCTTTAATATAACTGGCATAGATTCAGGAAATTTGATTGTGGTCCCTCATGTTCTGTGGAGCATCTCAGTTTTAGAGTTGTTGAGGTTGTTTTTTATTTATTTATGTATTTATTTATTTGACTTCTCCCAAAATAGAATCACATTGAATCAGGACATGACTGTGATACAATGTCCTTCATTGCATCATAAGATGATGCAATAGCCTGCTGTCCTGACAAGTTTGTCCCATCAGACAAACACAGGAAGGTGACACCCTATTTTGACAAACCTGTCTGAAAGGTTTGGGGATATAATTTGCAGACCTAACAAAAGCCTTTTTAACAGAGAAAGAAATGTTAAAGGGACACTAGCTGGGTTAAAAAGAAATCCATACCTGTGCTACGTTAACTTTTGAACAAAACATTTAAAAAAAATCTAATCTCATTTTCATTCTTTATCTGGCTCTCTTACATTTTGTACTTCTTTGCTTAAAACAGTTAAATACTTATTTTCCCATTTGTTTATGGTCAGTTTCACTTTGTGGTTTTAATGTACTAGGACAGTGCTACAATGTTTGGGTTGGCAGGAAATAGTAAAAAAAAAATTGGAATCTTAAAAAGGTCATGGAAAGATTTTATATAGGTTTTAGGTTTTGTGAGAGACCTAAATTTTGGGCTAAATTTGACTTTGTAGTGCCCCTTTAAAATGTTAAGAATTAAGGCTTCTTTCAAAGACCTTCCTTATGCAAATTTTTTTTTAAAAAATCAAGTCACACAGTCTTGGACCCATTTAGAAAACAGATGATCAAATTATATACTAGTAAATGTTGGTCTCCATTCTCGGTTTGAGTGGAAACGTTCTTTGTTTTGCCTACTTCAGAACTTCTAGGTTCTCTTTCTACTAGCAAAGGAGGTTCTTAATTTAGATCGAAAATGTGAATCGGCATAATTAAACTTCACCACTCGAAGTGTTGAGTAGCATTTTACTCTTGAAATGACTCTACCCGCCTACAACGGTTTTTCAAGTTTTTAGAAAAAACAGATCTTTTGTTTTTATTAAATCTATCTGAAGCTACAGCTAGGAGAGGCATAAATGAGAACAAAAAACTGACAGCTATTCAGCTCGCTGTGAAAATAGGCCCCCAAACACACAAACTGGAGGGGGCTGAGGGGCTTCAGACATAGCCTTTCTTAAACATTGTATTAAAAAGAGGTTTGCCTCCGTCTCTTACTGTTCTAAGGCCTGATCCAATATCCATTGAAGTAGGTTGGAGTCTTTCCACTGACTTCAGTGGGAGCTAGCTCAGGCCCCTGTGAGAGGAGCATCTTTTTGTCAGTTCAGTAACTTAATGATGCAATCCTATGGTTCCTGTTTGTCACAAACCGATCAACTATTTTGTCTCAGACCAGAGACTCTGGATAGATGTGTGATAGTGTATGAGTACAATAGGTGTTGTTATCACCAACGCTTAAAGGGAAAAAACCCACTTTGGTAAGGAATAATTCAATTTATGGGTACTTTCAAGAATAAAAATTACAAACCTCCAAATCAACTTCAACCCAGGTTTCAATCCAGCTTACCCAGTATGACATAGGAGCCTTTCTGTAGGGGAAAGTGACCAGGATGGTGATAGTGACTGTGAAATTCTCAGGGAGATTAGAGAGGCTATACAATTAAAAAACTCAATAATAATGGAGGATTTCAACTATCCCCATATTGACTGGGTACACTTCACCTCAGGACAGGATGCAGAGATCAAGTTTCTTGACACCTTAAATGACTGCTTCTTGGAGCAGCTGGTCCTGGAACCCACTAGAGGAGAGGCGATTCTTGATTTAGTCCTAAGTGGTGCACAGGATCTGGTCCAAGAGGTGAATATAGCTGAACTGCTTGGTAATAGTGACCATAACAGAATAACATTTAACATCCGGGGGGGAAGAGGAAACACACCAAAGCAGCCCAGCACCGTACCA